CAGCCCCTGGTCTCTGTCTCCTGCACTACAGTGAGCAGTTGTTTTTGTCTGTCTTGCTTCCTGCTGTATCCCAGGACCTAGAAAGTAGGTGCTCAATAAACGGGGACTAAAGTTATAAGAGCAGCAGTGGAGATGGGGGCTTCTGGAAGGACACGCACCAATCAGACCTCTTTTTTTTTCTTTCTATAAACAGGCTGTCGCTCTCTCCCCCAGGCTGGAGTGCAGTGGCGTCATCACAGCTCACCGCAGCGTCCAACTCCCCAGCTCCAGCGATCCTCCTGTCTCGGCCTCCCCAAATGCTGGACTGCAGGCGTCAGCTACCACGCCCGGCCATCAAGGCACAATAAGTGCATGACTCAGAACACAGGGACCAGCCTTCATGGGACTGGGGCGATCTTTGCTTCGAGTTTGCACAAAGGCAGATGGAGACCCAGAAGGGAAGTGACGCCCCCCGAGTCCCACAGCACATGGAGGGGACAGCCCATCCCTCCCTCCCTCTCCGAGTGGCTGCAGGGATCCTCCTGGCACAGCGTCCAGGCCTCTCCCCGGCTCTCGGGATAAAGTGCCAACCCCCCAGCCTGGCATTTGAGTCCCATCCTGGCCCCGCTCTGGAAATCCTCCAGGCTTTCCCCGACCCGGGCTCCTCCCTCCGCCCCAGCCCGGCGGCCGCAGAGCTGGGCGCGTTCGCGTCCCCGGGGCGCGCAGGGGGCGTCACTTCCCGCCCCCTCCTCACTGGGAAGTCCCTCCCATTGTCTAGCTTCAGTGCCTCCTGCTATTCCCACAATGTCCCACTGCCGTCCGGCCCTGGGGGGGCGTGACCCCCGGGACGCCCGGCCGCGCTCACCTCGGGGAGGCCGCACTTGCCCTTGTCTGCATACGGCGACAGCCCCGCCGCGTAATTCACCGACATCCTCGCAGCCTCAACGGGAACAATAAAGTTTCCCTTGTTGAGGCCGCTTCCGCCGGAAACGGGGCGGCACGGGTAGGAAGGAGGAGCCGCGGTCCCATCCTGCGCGCCGGCCTCCCACGCCAAGGCGCATGCGCTCCGAGCTGACGCCGCGGGCGCCATCTTAACTGCTGGCAGGCGGAAGCCTGCTCCGTGGTACACACTGGCGGGGCCTGGCAGGTGGCTGCCCAGTGACCCAGGCGGGAAGATGGGGCGGCCGCTCACGTGAGAGCTCTCCAGTCACCCCTAAAATGAGGGACACAAGCGATCAGTGCCCCCTTAGCCCCTTTTTACAGATTAGTAAACTCCATTAGGACAGGGCCAGAGAGCAGGGACCCAGGACGCCAGTCCAAGGGAGGGCCTTGAATGCCGCTCTAAGTTATCTGAACATTATGCAGGCAGGTGATGTGGATTCAGCCGGATAGGTCCTGCTCAGGGTCTTTGGGGCTGGTGGCCTTGAGGGCTTGTGTAAGAAACACGTGTTGAGCACCTACTGTGTACTGGTGTCACGCTGGAGAACAAAGGTGACACCATCCCTACCCATGTGGCTGGCGGTGAACACAAACATGTGACCAGGCAATGGTGACATAGTGCCATTGGGGTGCAGTGGGGGACGCAGAGAGCACAGGGCGATGAGGGAGCTCAGAGGAGACACCCTACCCAGGCTGGGAGCATCTGGGAAGGCTTCCTGGAGGACGGGGCATTGCAGCAAAGATCTGAAGAGTGAGCAGGAATGAGATGGAGGGAATGAGCTGGTTGGGGGTGACATGAGTTACAGAAAGAACGTTCCTGGTTGAGGGAACGGCAAATGCAACGGCTGGGAGAGGAGGAAGAAAGAGCATGGCTCCTTCCAGAAGCTGAAATCCATCCAGAGATGACAGGGAAGAGTGTCGGTGTCTTCCCGCCAGAGCCCGTTGGCCAACAGGCAGCCCAGCTGCCAGCCTGTCTCCTCCCTCGGCTCGTCCCCGGCCCCCTGGGGCGGCTGCCCGCTCAGAGCTGATCGGGTGTCAGAGCCGAGCTCTGGAGCTGCCCTGCGAGCTCGCGGCCCAGCTGGGAGAGGGTAACTGGAGTCGGCGCTGGACAAGGTGGCCTGGTGCTCGGGCGGTGCAGCTGCGGGAGGTAGGAGGAAGGAGATGGGGAGGCCGGATGGAGGGTCCCCTTAGGGCCTCAGGCCCCTGAGCCCTCGAGTATGGGAGAAAGGAAAGGCCGGTGCTGGGTCCCAGCCACGCTGATGAGCTACCCAGGCACCCGAGACACACGCGCGCACGCACACACACACAGGCACGCACACGTACACGTTCACGCTCTTCCCCTTGCCCGCCTTTGCCCCGCTTAGACTACATGCCCCCCTTCCTGCCGCTGGTGCTCAGCATCCTGCCCTGGCATCAGGCCCTTAGCAGTCACCATCACGTCTTCCAGGAAACAGCTCCCTAAGTTTACCCTGCATTTCCCCTCCCCCAGGCCCGTGGGTCCCCTCCTCCCCAGGCAACCTGTAGGCTCTTCTCTTGGGTGTCTCGTTACACCCTGCTTTGGGTGTGATTGGGTCCATTGGTCAGGGGTAGAAGGAAAAGGGTGGGCGGGTGGCGAGTGAATGAGAATATTGACTGGTGGAGGAGTGAATGAATGAATGGAAGAGTGGGTGGATGGGTGGCTGGATGGTGAGTGGGTGCGTGGATGGGTGGATGGATAAAGGGGTGGTTAGATAGGTGGGTGGATAGATGGATGTGTGAACAAGTGGATGGATGTATGGATTATGGACAGAGGGATGGATGGATGGGGGAGTGGAAGGGTGGATGGATGGGTAGGTGGATGGAGGGATGGTGAGTAGATGGTGGGTGGGTGGATGGGTGGATGGATGGATGGATGGATGG